CAAACACACACAAACACACATCATGCACAGATACACACCATGCACACAATTTTAAAAAATCTAAAAACTATGTACTGGTTTTTCATTTTTAACTCACTCTGGAAACAAAGCACAAGAATCATCACAAAATCCTTCAAAACATCCTAGATCTTGATTTACTGTAGACAGAGCAACCAAATCGAGAGGATTGCAAAAGGACACTAAAAGAAAAGGGAGGAAGGATGCTAAGTGCCTTCTCCTATACAAAGTAGACAGTATCTAAAGATAATGTATTAAAATCAATTTCTAAAACTAAGTTGTTCAGCTGTCTTCCTAAAAAAGAATTACATCAAGTCACTAAGCACTCTAAGGGACAGTCTCTTCCTTAGAAGTGATGCAGCCTGTAGTAATAAGTGTGGCAGGGCTGTGTCCCCAGCACCCCGGCCGCCTGGCTAGCTTATGCCCAAAATAACAACACACAAACTGTATTCACTTAAACTGCTTGGCCCATTTCTATCTAGCCTCTTCTCAGCTAATTCTCGCACCTGGACTAGCCCATGTCTAATAATGTGTGTAAGCACCCCAAGGTGCACTTACCAGGAAGATTCTAACCTACATCCATCCTGGGTCGGAGCTTTATCGCATATGCCCAAGAGAGTGAAGCAGGGCCTCTGCTCCAGAAAGCAGAGCTGTCGAGTCTGAGCTCACTTCTTCTTCCTCCCAGGATCCTATTCTGTTTACTCCTCCCACCTATGTTTTAACCTATCAGGGCCAAGGAGTTTCTTTATTGCTTAACCAATGAAATCAACAGATTGATATATGACACTCCCATATCACTTCCCCTTTTTCTGTTTAAACAAAAAAAGAAGGCTTTAACTTTAAAGGAGCAAAATTACATATAACAAAACAGTTATCAAGTAAGAATTACAGTTACAATATTTATATCTATTTTATCTTTATCATAACTAAGTAAAACTATAACTAACTATTCTGAACTCCATCAAAGACTCCAGAAAGATACAATATTACCTAAGCAAACAAGAAATAAGCAACTTTCAAACTCTAGAAATGACAGAGACATCTCGCTGCCTGGACAGGCACCCAAAGTTCCTCTGTACCGTTGGGGCATCCATCTTCGACCTACAGGCCCATAGTTTCCAGCAGACATTTTCATCAAGCAGGAAATTCCAAAGACAGTTCAGTCACTATCTGCTTGTCCTGCAGAATGTCTCGCAGACTCTTTCATGAATCAGGAACCCCAAAAGGTCATCTCACCTTTAGGCAAGTTCAGCAGTCCTCTCTCTGGAGGTTCTTTTTGTCCAGTTTATGCAACAGTCCAGGCAAGAGCAGTTTCTTGCCCAAATGGCTATCAAACTCCATAAGGTGCCTCTTCAATGCCCATCTTTCTCTTGAAGTAGATTGGTGCTGCCAGGAGCAGAGTGTCTCATTGTCATGAAAAGTCCTCAGTTATTAAAACATTTAAAATGCCATATTCTATAATCTTTGAAAAATATGAAGAATCCCTATCTAAAATATATCTATGCACATCTAGAAAATCTTAACTAACATAACTACAAACTTGACTACTATGATTATCTATTAACAATCTATATTTCTAATTATACATTACATTTTTAAATGTACTACACAATCACAATACCTTAATCAATATCAGAAATACATATACATATAACAAAACTGACCTTAAATCTCTATCAATAAAGCAAAATCTATACTAATGCAAATTATTCATATCTATATCATATCCCCCTTTAAATGTAAAAGAACATTTATAAACCATATTTGGGACCATGGGGACAGTTTTTTCTCTCCAACCTGCTTCCTGCTGAATGGGGGTGTCGTTAATTAGGTCTTTCATGGAATAACCTGTGTGCTAGTTTCATCTCAGTTGGCAGTTGAGCGAAGCAATTTTCTGAAGGTATTTACAGCAACCGTTCAGGAGGGCATGGTCCATCATACCATATTGGAATAGAAGAAATGAATAGGGTCTCATCCTCTGTGAATACAAAAAAATAAACTCCTTTCCAAAGTATCATGTCCTTAGATCCAAATTACAAAGTCAAGGAATTTTCGAAATATCTATGTTGGATTAGTTCAGCAGCATTATAAACAAATATCTTTTGTCAGCTGTTGCTCCTTCCTCAGCATTCAAACAATTCAAAGAGAACATAATAGCATACAGTATCAAGATTCTCTGTGTATTTTCCATCTTTGTATGCTTTATTTTAATCTCTATTTCATTTTACTTTGTGAGACAGGTTTTCTGTATCTTTGACCTGGAATAACTCTGTAGACCAGGCTGTCCTTGAACTCTCAGAGATCCACCTGTCTCTGCCTCCCAGGCATTGGGATTAAAGGTGTATGCTACTACACCTTGAACTCACAGAGATCTGTTTGTCTCTGCCTTCTAGGCACTGGGATTAAAGGCGTGTGATACCACACCTTGAAGTCACAGAGGTCAATCTCTCTCTGCCTCCCAAGTGTTGGGATTAAAGGTGTGTACTCCCACACCCAACTACTCTCTTTCTTCCTTATTTTTGTTTTTTACTTTTAAGAACTTTTAATTTTAGCTTGCATATATTTTTAACACACTGTAAACCATTTAGAAATTGTCTTTGAATCACTCTTTACTGTATATCTCTCTTTTTCTGACCACTTGAGTCTTTAATTTACCAAGCAAGATCAGTAGGACTAAAGCCATGGCTTTGCCGGCTAGATCCAGTCCAATCCTTAGCTTTCCAGCCTCATGGTGGATATACAGGCTGTAGCCATGTTTACTGCCACAACTCTATGACATTTCAAGGTCCCTACCAGGCAGTGAGCCACAACAGACAACACTCAAGTCCTCTCTCTGTAGCCGGCCCTCCTGCCTCAAACAGTCAGAGTTTGCCCTGGCAGGACGAAACAGAAAGCCGGCATTTTAAATCGGCGCAGCTTTTTTCCTGCTACGGCTGAAAACCAAAAAGCATGTGTTTCAGCTTTTTGTCAACAACATTTAAGTGTTTCGTGGCAGGACCTCTTAAAAGAGCTGCAAGGATTGGCAGATAAAGCTGAGACAGGAAGCCTCTCTTAGCTGAGAGCACTTGCTTGCCTCTAGCAAGCAGAGCAGAACCGAGAAACTGCTGCTACCAAGAAAACAAGCATGCTTTACTCTTTCCCAAGCTTTCTCAGGCTTTCTGTGGACTCAGTCACGCCACGTTGGGAGCCATTTGTAGTAATAAGTGCAGCGGGGCTGCGTCCCCAGCACCCCGGCCGCCTGGCTAGCTTATGCCCAAAATAACAACACACAAACTGTATTCGTTTAAGCACTGCTTGGCCCATTTCTATCTAGCCTCTTCTAGGCTAATTCTCGCACCTGGACTAGCCCATTTCTAATAATGTGTGTAAGCACCCCAAGGTGCGCTTACCAGGAAGATTCTAACCTACATCCATCCTGGGTCGGAGCTTCATTGCATATGCCCAGGAAAGCGAAGCAGAGCATCTGCTCCAGAGAGCAGAGTTGTCGAGTCTGAGCTCACTTCCTCTTCCTCCCAGCATCCTATTCTGTTTACTGCTCCCACCTATGTTTTAACCTATCAGGGCCAAATAGTTTCTTTATTGCTTAAGCAATGAAATCAACAGATTGATATATGACACTCCCACATCATCAGCCAATAAATGGGGGTCAGGAGGGGATCAGTGCCACCATTTTACAACTCCCAGGGAAAGAACAGGTCGTGATAACAGTAGAACACTTATAGAGGCCAATGTCTGTTCCCAGATGGATGTGAGTAACTTATCCACCCTTTCTCCCTGAGAAAACCAGAATTTGATCAGAACTTTAGCAGGTCATGAAGAGAACAGAGACATATTAATGACACTACAAATATTGGAGGTGTCTACAGGACACTACACATGTAACTCCGGTCCACAAAATTATAGTGGGAGAGAAGAAATTCAAAAGTCATATCATCTATACTCAGCATTGTCACGATTATATTTGTATTATGCTTGAAGAAATCTTGAATAAAATAATAAGAGAAAGAAAATGGGGGAGAATGAGGAGAAGAGAGAAAGGGGGAGAGGAAGAGATACAGAAAAGTAAACGAAATAATGAGTATTGGAACAGAATGTTGGATCTGCTGACAGAAGAGTGTGGAGAGCCGGGTGATGGTGATGCAAGTCCTCAGCCTCAGGAGGCAGAAGCAAAAGAATCTCTGTGAGTTCAAGGATCTCCTGGTCTACAGAACAAGTTCCAGGATAGTCATCAAAGCTACAAAAAGAAACCATGTCTCAAAACACCAAAAAAAAAAAAAAAAAAAAAACCAAACCAAACAAACAACAACAACTTCCTACTTATTCATTCCTCCCCAAGATCCCCATTATGACAAAGAAAGCTCAAGACCCTGGGCCCCATATCTTCTTCCCTCCTGCCTCACCATTGGCTCACCACTGGCTGCCTAGCTCTGGCTTCTGGGGTAGGCGGGTCCTACTTCTGTACCCTTCAGCCTTGCAGGAGCCCCTCCTTTGGTACACAGCTAACCTTGACAAGAGCTGCCAGCCCCTGGACCTCCCAGAATCATATCCCCACCACACCCCGACCGCCAGGAAACCCAGACCCCCAGACCTGGAACCCGGACCTGCTGTAAGCTGAGAGCAGCAGAACTGCTCTGCAGGAACCCAGAGAGGACAATGGAGAGAGAGGATGGATGCTCCAGGGAGACCTGGGCTCTGCTACCTCCTCAAAGAGGAAGAAGCTTCCAAGCCACCCAGGCTGCCTTTTATGCCTGAAGAATAGTTTCAGTTTCCGTTCTCCACCCAGAAGCCTAAAGTTTCGATTTCCACTCATCACCAATCCAATTGGAAAAGCCAACTTGGGAAATGAAGCTTTTAGCATCCTTCTATAAATTCAGGACTGTCAGACAGGGAAAACTGAGGCTTTGGGATTCTTGAGGTAAGTGTGGAGAGAACCCTGACAGAGAAATCTGAGGATGTCTAGGCAGTGCAACAGTGGAGAGGCCAAAGAAGCAGAAGACCAGGTGTGGTGGGTGCCCTCTGCCCCCACCGGTAAGCTAAAGGCATTAAAGGGGAAGCAGGAAGGAACTTGAGAACGCTTGAGTTTATTACTGAAGCCTGTGATTAATCTGTGTGGGATCTTCTTCAACCAATAAACACTACTGAAATTGGAATCTAGTTATTTTTATTTCTGCCTTGATTTTTTTCTTCTCTCCTTCTGTCCCTCAGTCTTCCAATTTCACTGTGCCAACGTCTGGGAAAAAGTAATTATGGGCAGGGGTTCTCAACCCTCCTAAGGCTGCAACCCCTTAATACAGTTCCTCATGGTGTGGTGATCCCCAACAATAAAGTTATTTTCCTTTCTATTTTACAACTGCAGTTTTGCTACTGTTGTGAATCATAATTTAAACATATGATATGCAAGATATCTTATAGGTCCGAGGGAGGTGGTTGTTTAACCCACAGATTGAGAACCGCTGATGCCAGGTGATTAACAATCCTTTAATTGCTGCTAATCCATCTATGAAGGTGGAGCCTTTATAATAAACAGGCAATCCCATTGAAAACCTGCACCCCAAGTTCATTACATTGATGAATGTGTTTATAGCACATAATTCTGGGTGACACATTGAAATCATAACATACCCCAAAGTATATAAACACCCCGAAGCTGACGAATCCATCTGCTGTTAGGGTTTCTTGGATTTCTATTTACTTTTCTCTGCCTCCATTATCTGCTCCCGGCCACACCCTGTACTTTCTCCTGAGGTTTCAGAACCACACGTTGCATTTCCATGTTACTTTATGCCTGTACTTTAGCCTCTTTGAATTCTTGAGTGTTTGTCTAGTCAGAGTGAACTTCCTTAGCTAACATTTCAACCTTTCTCTACTTAACAGAGTCAACCATTTCTGCAATATGTCTTCTCTCTATAATTACCTACAGTTTGATACTCTGAATAAGTCAATTTTCAAAACCTGACTATTAAGGGAAATGACTGGATTTGTATGCCATCAAATTAATTATTCATAAATACCACAGGAAAGTTGCTATGAAAGGTTCCAGATTTGTAATCTGCAAAACATTTGTCCAGGGGCTTCTAGTATGTAGGCAACCGATGTCCCTCAAGAAGCTGTAGCACTTGGCTGTCTAAGGTCCTGTTTTGTATCAGAAATGCATGACTGTTGGAGGTCCTGTGGGTCCAACACCGATTCCCTAACTGGACTGGAACGGAGTCGCAAGGAATATTCAGACACAACTTACAGGGTCATCATGGAAGGGCAAGATCTCTCTCTCAGAAGATTCCCCGTTTATTAACCAAACACCTTATATATCACCACATCAACTGAGCGGGAAAACACATTAGGCTGTATCCTAGGTAACCATGGTGCCTGGGCTCTAGTCAAGTCCTCATCTACCTGTATGCTAGCAGTCAGCTAGGCCATGAATTAGCATCTCTATAAGACATCCTCCAAATTAAGGGAGGAAGCACCAAACCTCTTAACTCTAAAGTCATCAGCTTCAGCCAACATCTCTTCTCAGGTAATCTACATTTATAAAAAAAGAAACTAGGAGCAGTACATCCTGGCTAGTGTTGAAACAGAGACAGCTTGTCTGCAGAGTTCCTGACCACCTCAAACCGAGCTAATGGCTCTCGTGCCATACAGAAATATGGGCCTACACATGACCAAGTTCTGTTGTATTTCAGTGAGTCCTCATAGCATTTCCTTGACAGATTCTCTGAAGGCACTAACTGCAGTGCTCACTGGTTCCAGTTTAGACATTTTTCATTACATTTGATTGGACGGGACCTCATGTAAGGTAAACTGATTTACAACTAGTGTCAGTAAAATAAAATAAGATTTGCAAAGACGGAGCAAAATTTCTCTAAGCCTCAATCAACTAGAGAGTGCTTGACTTCTGTACTGTGGGTGCCAAGACAGACAAAAGTTAGATCTTGAGGACAGCGGAAGTGAAACTGTCCTTCTCATCAGCAAATGACTCTCAGGGATGTAGCTAGTGTGACAGGACCTTGCACCTATGTGTTGTGCTGGTTAGTTTTATATCAACTTGACACAATCTGAGAGGAGGGAACTTCAACTGAGGAAATGCCCCCAGAAGACCTGGCTCCAGGAAAACTTACAGTGAATGTTCTTAATCAGAGATGGAAGGGAGAGGGCCCAGCCTATGGTGGGTAGTGCCACTCCTGGGCTGGAATTCCTGAATCTTATAAGAAAGCAGGCTGAGCAAGCCATGAGGAACAGGCCAGTCAGTCGAACTCTTTCATCACCTCTGCATCAGTTCCTGTCTCCAGGTTTCTACTCTGACTGCCTTTGATAATAACTTGTTTTAAGACAAAGTGAAATATACCCTTTTTCTCTCAAAGTTGTTTTGCTCAGACTGTTCCATCACAGCAGCTGAAACCCCAGCTAAGACATGTGTGAAACTACAGACCATTTTAAGTGGGTTAGTGTCCTCTAAGATTGTTTCCAACTAAGGCTATTAAATGAGGAAGTCATTGGGGGCAATATTGTTATGCACACATACAGAGAAGGGTGGATACGATGATTTTTGCCTGATCATCCGTGTGTGATAACAAATTGCTAGGTTCTACTAAAGGTACTTTGTGTTCCTTCAGAGGTAGCAGACCACACCCTCGTTGGTTCTGAAAGCCCGATTAGAGATGGCAAGTGAATAAAAGGACAGACACACAGAAACAGGAACAGAATCCAGAACACAGAATGTTTATTAGGTGTATTACAGGATTATTCCTCTGTCTTAGTGGGTTGGTAGGAGGTCTCTGAAGGTTAGCAATCTCAGCTGTAAACTAGAAGGAGGAAACTGCAGTTGTGAATTTTGCACTCACTCATCAATTGTTTGTCAAAACCATTACTTGCACACACTGTCCACATTCACACTCAGACAAGAGGAAAGTACTGTCATCCCTCTGAGCCTGAGCAAATCAGTGCTTTGCCATTCTCTTGGGTCTGAGACAGTGGTCTTTGATATGATTGTACCAATGTGAGCATAACACATTCACTCAAGACTTTGCTCTTTACACATTTATTCAAGGCTCTCTTAGCTCCCTATACAGATAAGATAAACTGAAACAGAGATACAGTTAATAATGTGTTAGTCAAATCTATAATAGCAAGGTTCTCACAGTTTTGAAGGCCTTGTAGTCCAGTTTCATGATGTCAGCATCTGGCAAGACATCTGATCATACAGAACAATATTTTAGAATATTGAATATTAGACATAAGGACTTATGGTCCATGTTAAGTTAAAGTGGTAACAATGCACTGTGAAGAACAATTGTTCTCTTCACATTTCAGAGCAATCCAAATTAAACCATTGAATAAAGATACTGTGAGGCCAACCACCTCTGATCACTAGGTGTACAGTCCTTGAAGACCTAATAACGTCCTACCATATTGTTTTGCATTTGCATATTTTCTGACTCTGAACTGTTTGCCATTTCAGGAGTTTATCTTGCATGTACCATTATTAAAATAAAAAGATTAATATTATTTAATCTACATCTGTAATAAGTTTTGAGAAAACAAG